GCCAGAGGGATGTCTGATTGCCATCTTAGGCCCAATCCCCCGGGGAGCAGGCCTAAGCCAGCAAGTGGTCATCCCCCGAGGGGTCCCAGACTGCGAGAGGGCACAGGCCAGGCTGAGGGACACCCTCCTTCCCCCAAGTGCACAAATTTTTGTGCACTGGGCCTCTAGTATAATATAAAACCCAGAAATCATGAAGGAAAAATCTAGTAACTTTGACTACATAAAATATAAAAAATTTGGCATGGCAAAAATAAATGTATCAAATTTTAAAAAATAACACATTTTTTTTAAAAGTGCTAATTTCCTTAGCTAGAAAACCGTAACTCAACAAAAGACACAAACAGCTGTTTTCAAAATTAGAAATGCATATACCCAATACACTTATGAAAATAGGTTCCATATTACTTATAAAGAAATTTGAATCAAAACCACAAGATAACATTTTTTCATTTAATAGAATTTAACATTTTTTAATAGTCAAGATTAATGAGAATGGATAAACATTTAGTATTTACTATTGGTGGGACTATAAATTGGTACTCAAAGTAGAGAAGAAATTTGGCAAAGTTCATTAAATTATAAAATTTATAGTTTTTTACTCAACAATTCTACTTCTAAGAATTTATATAATAATTAAAAATATACCCAAATAAATGAATAAAGAAGTTCAAAACCATTTTTTTATAACTATGAACACTCATAACAATATGAATGCCCATCAAAACAGATTATGTTAGTTAAAGGATAGTATACTCACATAATTCAATACTACAGGCTGGGGAAAAGTAGGTTCATATGGAAAATCCCAAAATAAACTCTGTGCTCACAACTGTAAATCTACTATTGCCCCATCCTGTATATCACCATAAAAAAGAATAAGGTAGATTTGTGCTAACTGGAAAATATCTTTAAGGTGTGTAACATAGGTAATTATAATTAAAGAATACAGATTCAGAACAGTAAGTGTATTCCCACTTACATAAATTTTAAGAACACAATATATATACTTGTATGTGCACATACACACATGTTTGTATGTGTGTGTACTAGCATATGCCATAAACATTTTAAGAAAACTAGAGATGCAATGGTTAATAGTGTTATCACTGAGGAGAAAAATTAGAGGCTGGAAAAGTGAAGATAGGTAGACATCACTTTTCTTTATGATATGCATTTTTTACTTCATCATTTGCTCTTTTAAAATGTAGTAATTTTTAAAGGTCTATTCATAATAAATTGAGTTGTTTTTACCCTAAATTTCTGGGGTTGTTAAAATACTATTTGTGAATTCTTTTTAATTTTTGCTTTTGTTAATTTTGTAAATAACATTACCTGAAATGGCTTGACAGGGGCATGTACTTCAGTTGCAGGTGTGGGTTTTGGAATGCTTTCAATCAATTCCAAAATTCCTTGAAGCTTTTTATCTGAGATTCGCAAAGAAATCAGTGGTAACTTTCCAAAAATCTTGAATCTATTTCAAAAAGAGAGGAATCACTATAAAGCAATTTTCATTCTGATTTAAGTGAATTAATTAAAAGGATGAGACTGTTTCCCTTAAATTATCCAAAAATAATCAAATGTGATTTTATCACTAAAAATTATCCACCGTCCATGGACAAACTATCCCATAATCTCCACTAAAATTTACATTTGACCTATTGACCAGTCTCATTAGATAAAATAATCTCATTATTTTTCAGAAGCTTATTTTTTAATGTTATTATGTTTATTATCTCTTTATTATTTGCCAAGGACAGTTAACAATGACTATTTATCAAGTGTTAATTACATGATAGGCATTAAGGAAAGCACTTGATATGCATTATGCTAAATAGTCTCACAACCCAAGAGGGAGTCAACTTATTTCTGTTCCCTATTTCGTATAAAGTTCCCATATGTATATAGTTCTTATCAGGAAACTAAGGCTTTAGCAAGTTCAAATAACTTGTCTAAGAGATTATACATCTAAAACCAATTTTAAAAATCTGACCTGACTGAAAAGGAAAAATTACATGATCATATAAATAGATCCATGTGACAAAATCCAACATACATTCATAATTTAATAAAAAAACAAAAAACAAAAAAACTCTCAGTCAACTAGACTAAAGGAGAACTTCCTCAACTGGAAAAATCATCAGTTAACATTATACTTAGTAGTGAAGAAACTCAATGTTTTCCAACTAAGATTAGGTATAAAGCAAAGATATCCCTCTCATCATTCCTTTTCAAGATGGTACTGAAAGACCTAGCCAATGCAATAAGGAAAGAAAAGGAAATAAAAGCCATATAGATTGGAAAAGAAAACATAAAACTGTCTTTGTTCAATGATGAAACGTGGCCTATGTAGAAAACCCAAATAATAAAACAAAAGCAAAATTAAATAAAACAAAACAAAAAACTAATAGCCATGGAACTAATAGCCATTATTGTAAGGTTGCAAGATACAAACTTAACATACAATAGTCAATCCCTTTCCTATAAACCAACAACAAAAAAGTGGAATTTGAAATTAAAAACACAATATTATTTATGTTAGTGCCCCTAACAGAAATACTCAGGTATAAATCTAACAAGATATATACAAGATCTACAGAGAAAAACTGCAGAATTCTGTGAAGAATGAAATCAGAGAACTACATAAATACAGACACTCCATTTCGTAAGTAGGAAGACTCAATATTGTCAAAATGTCAGTTCTTCCCAAATTGATCTGTAGATTCAATGCAATCATGAACAAAATCCCAGCAACTTATTTAATGAATATTAACAAAATAATTCTAAAATTTGTATGAAGATGCAAAAGAACAGAATAGCCAACACAATATTAGAGGAGAAGAACAAGGTTGGTAGACTGACACTCCCTGACTTCAAGACTTACTATAAAGCTACAGTAAATAAGACACTGATACTAGTAAAAGAGTAAACAAATAGATCACTCAGCCAGAATAGAGGGCCCTAGAATAGACCTCCAAAAATACAGTCAACTGATCTTGGACCAGGCTCCAAACGCAATACGATGGAGCAAAGACATTCACTTTAACAAATGGTGGTGGAATAACTGGACACCTACATGCAAGAAAAATGAATCTAGATAACAGACCTTAACCCTTCACAAAACTCAAAATGGATTACAGACCTAAATGTAAAACAAAAAACGACAGAACTCCAAAAGATAAATTCAAGAAAACCTAGTAGACTTCAGACATGGCCATGACATCTTTTTATACAAAGGCACAATTCATGAAAAAATAAAAATTGATAAACTGGACCTCATTAAAATTAAAACTTCTTGCTCTATAAGAGACAATGAGAAACCACAATGCACTTATTAGAATGACCAAAATCTGGAATATTGACAATACCAAATAATGGCAATGGTGTGAACAGCAGGAACTCTCATTCGTTGCTGTTGGAATTGCAAAAAGGTGCAGCCACTTTGGAAGAAGTTTGGTGTCTTCTCACAGAAGTAAACATTATTTAACCATAGATCCAGCTACTGAGCTCCTTGGTATATACCCAAAGGAGTTGAAACTTATGTCCCCACAAAAACCAGCACACAAATGTTTATAACATCTTTACTCATAATTTCATATGAATGAAGCTTATCCACATAAACTTTATATTCTAACTGTATAGTCAAAACCTGGAAGCAACCAAGATGTCTGTCAGTAGGTGACTGGGTAAACTGTGGTATATCAGACAATGGAATATTATTCAGAACTAAAAAGAAATGAGCTATGAAGTCATGAGAAGACATGGAAGAACTTTAAACGCATGTTAGTAAGTGAAAGATGCTAATCAGAAAAGGCAACATATTGGTCTTAGCTGTTTTGGCTCAGTTGGTAGAGTGTCAGCCTGAGGACTGAGAATCAATGAAATATGGTATTGCCTTAGCTTCAGAATTACTAAGAAAATCTATTACCACGTGAAACAAATACATACTTCGGCATCCTTATATCCATGAAAACCATGGCCTTAGAGAATTCCACATTGAAGTGCAAAGGTACCAAAATATGCTGTGTAGATACATTGAGTTTTCGTGCTTCTTTCCAATTATCACCTAATTATAGAAAACAGTATATTTAACACATGTGTAATTTGAAAGACACTAAACCTAAGATTATTTTTAATACTTCATAGTCACACACTGCGTGATATGGGGAAACCTTCCCACCCACATCAGGATAATCTTTAATACCACATGCCCAGGTACACACACACAATTGGCAGGTAAATTCTTTTCCCTTTCACATTTTACTTCTGCTGCTTCACAAGACTGCGTTTTAATAGGAAAAATGCTTATAAGAAACAACAACATAGTTTTAATCAAATCTATTGCGCATTCACTGGTAATCACTGCAACCAGCCAGATACTTTACCAAAATCCCAACATGGCTCTAAGGCAGTGGTTCTCAACCTTCTGGCCCTTTAAATACAGTTCCTCATGTTGTGACTCAATCATAAAATTATTTTCGTTGCTACTTCATAACTGTAATGTTGCTACTGTTATGAATCATAATGTAAATATTTGATATGCAGGATGATCTTAGGCGACCCCCATGAAAGGGTTGTTCGACCGCCAAAGGGGTTGCAACCCACAGGTTGAGAACCACTGCTCTAAGGCAGTAACGACTAAAGTAGGGAAGATCGCAGTTTTTCAGTATTAACTCACAAAAGCTGACATTTATTCAAGATTTATAACTGGTACCGTTCTAGGCAATGTTTAAACTTGCACTTAATTCTCACAATGATGTATAACCATCTCATTTTAGAAAACTGAGACACAGGAATTTATAACTTGCTTATGGCCAAAAGGCTAGGGAGTAACAAAAGCTGAAATTTACATCCAGGTCTAGCAACATTCACTGCAGTGTTACAAGTCTAAATTTTCAATAAGGCAATGCTAAGTAACTGACAGAGTAGCCTTAGAACATTAGATAAAAATCATGGATTCAGCCCCGGCTGGCATGGATCAGTGGTTAAGCGTTGTCCTGTGAACCAGGAGATCACGGTTCTATTCCTGGTCAGGGCACATGCCCAGGTTGCTGGCTCAATCCTCAGTAGGGGACATGCAGGAAGCAGCCGATCAATGATTCTCTCTCATCATTGATGTTTCTATCTCTTCCTCCTTCTTGTTTCCTCTGTCTGAAATCAATAAAAATATACATATTTTTTAAAGGTCATGGATTCAAATGCCCAAAATATTACAGGTAAGTGAAAGAAAAAACAGGATATAATACATGTCATGTTAAAAACGCACTCAAAATATTCCCACTCATAAGCAACACACAAGCATATTCCATATACTCATAGGTACATACATTGAAAAAAACAGCAAAATGATATGCAGTGGAATACATTACATACATGATCTCATTTGAACCTAATAATTCCGTAAGTCAGATAAAATCCTCAGTCAAGAAAAACCAAGCAAACAAAGGATTAGATTCTTGGAGATAGATAATAAAATGGATCTTATGACAATTTTTGAATTCTACATATATTGAGATAAAAGACATATTTCTTCACTTCTCAATTTACAGGTAAAAAAATATGATATTCAGAGTCTGTATTTCAGTATTTATCAAAAGAATATATGACAATCACAGAAAGTAACCTAATGTCAAAAACCTTTGCTCAAAAAATACTTTTTTAAGAATAGTTAATGCTTCTCAAAAACATTCCAAGGAATTCCAATACTTTTCTCAAAAACATTCCAAGGAATTCCAATACTTTTCAGACAATAATGATGTATTTCAATTTTTTTCACAAGCATCTCAATATCTTAAATATAAGTATAAGCTAATGGGCTTCAAAAACTAGTGACCAACATGTACCAGACATACCAAAATTTAGTAATTTATTTACTGAAAAAAATTTATGAATTTTCTATAAATAATTTACATGTGCCACCCACTATACTCCTTTGACACCAACTGGAATATGATAAAAAACAAAAACCAATTTCATTACCCTAAAGCAGGGGTCCTCAAACTTTTTAAACAGGGGGCCAGTTCACTGTCCCTTAGACTGTTGGAGGGCCGGATTATAGTTTAAAAAAAACTATGAATAAATTCCTATGCACACTGCACATATCTTATTTTGAAGTAAAAAAACACAACGGGAGCAAATACAATATTTGTATTTGCATGTGGCCCGCGGGCCGTAGTTTGAGGACCCCTGCCCTAAAGCAAATATAGTCAGACAAATAAAACAAAAATGTCCCAGTCCTATATAAACTAACATTTTTAATAACTAATTACTTCAGGTTCTCTATTGCTTCTCCTTTCATTAGTTAGCTCAGTTAATTAAAATGTGACTATATACACACAGAGAGATCTCTAAAAACAGTCACCAATCTACCTTTGTTGAATTACCTGAATGTTTACTAACACCAAGGAATTCAAAAGCAATATAACACAGTGGAAAGAGGGCTCAAATTATCAGGGCTCTTTCACTATTCTTTAGTAGCTCCTGACAAGTGAATTTTTGGCTCTTACGACTAGGTCTGGATCAGAGACTCCTGATTAGTACAAAAGAATGAATGGGGTAAGTTATGCTTAAGATAGGGATCCACCTCCATCTCGCAGTGGCTATTTACGGCTGGGGATGCCTACGCTGGTTTCATTCACTCTTGAGTAGTCTCTTCTGATTATTCCACTGTGTAATACAAATATTTTTTAAAATGTGTCAATGTTTTCTAATCTTATGCAAATATTGGAGAACACTGGTCTAGATCAGGATTTGTCAATATCAGCAGTACTGGAATTGGGGCCAAATTAAGTCTTTGTTGACATTCCTCTACATTTGATGTTTAGTAGCATCCCTGACCTTCATCCACTAAATACTAGTGGTGCCCTGACTGTCCGTGTGTTACAACCAAAAATGTCGCCAGACACTGACAGTATCTTTTGCGAGGTAAAATCACTCCCAGTTTAGATATTACTCTTATCTACTACATACTTCTAATTAAAAAATATGGAAGCTCCAACATATTTAGAATGAAGGTCTTCAGAGAAACTGTCTAAACACCTAATTAATGACTTCAGCAAAATGAACAATACATAATGCACTGTATACTTACCAACTCTGCTGTAAAGCAGCTGAATGCTTGTAAGGTGAATATCAAAGGAATCATAAGCTCTACGCATTATCTCTTCAAGTCTGGCCCCACCTTGTTTCATATCTGGTAATTGTGAACGACTTTTGCTTGTCACCTTGAAGTTAATTTTAAAAGTTTAGATGGTGCAAAATACTCCAAAATGAAAAGATCAGGTTTTTATCTTTCAGAATATAAAAAGTTAACTGGGGAGGATAAACTCACAAGCTGACATATAAGGCTATTAGAAATGTCTTTAGCAAAGGTTGGTGTGCTCAATGGGTAGAGTGTTCACACACCCACTGAAGGATCGCAGGTTTGATTCCCCATCAAGGGCACATCCCTCGTTTGCAGGTTGGATCCCAGCCCCAGTTGGAGCACCTGTGGGAGGCAACCAGTGGATGTCAACTCTCTCTCACATCAATGTTTTTCTCTCTCTCTCTCCTCTTCTCCTCCCTCCTCTCTCCCTTACTTCTACTCTCTCTAAAAATCAATGAAAAAAAATCTTTGGTGAGAATTAATGAAACAAAAAAAATAATCTTTATCCATGACACATGTAAGAAGAAGGTTAGATATAAAATGAATTTTTATATATTGTTATATTTCCTAACTCTTTATATTAAAAGAAGGGAACCAAGCTAGTTCTGGAGAATAATACATCTAAATTATTTTAAAATCTGATATGAAGCCTTTTTATTAAAAACAAAAAGGCTTATAAAACATTTCTTTGGCATGATGACAGGTATTTAAATAGTTTTATAATAAGAACTGAAAGTCCAGGATTAAATATTAGGACAGCTGAATTTTATTCCCAACTCTGTCATTTATGTGACCTCCAGAAAGTTATATTTGTATCTCCCCTTTCTTGATGTACTATGCACACTACTTTTCTTTTTTCTTTTCTTTTTTTTAAAATATATTTTATTGATTTTTTACAGAGAGGAAGGGAGCAGGATAGAGAGTTAGAAACATCGATGAGAGAAACATCGATCAGCTGCTTCCTGCACACCCCCTACTGGGGATGTGCCTGCAACCAAGGTACATGCCCTTGACTGGAATAGAACCCGGAACCCTTGAGTCCGCAGGCCGACGCTCTGTCCGCTGAGCCAAACTGGTTAGGGCTACTTTTCTTTTTTCACATAAATATCTTGGAGATCACTCCACAGCAATATATCAAGATCTTACATACCCACACACACACACACATTGGTATATACACAAATATATATGTATATAGGTTTTTAAATAAAACTATATATATACAGATAGGTTTTATATAGCTCATGTGTACACAATCAAAATTCAGTATCTCTCTTTGAAAGGTAATGACTTTTAAGCAAAAAATTAAGCAAATTGCCTAAGATCACAAAACAAGATTAATATCCTTACAGCTGACCTTATGCTCTCTCAACTATAACAGACTGCCTTGAACCAATTCCATAACCACATTAAAATATGAATAATTAGCTGTATAAATATTATAACTGTAAATTCAGCAGTTGTCTATACAATTATCAACTGAAGAATAAAACATAGAAAAACGGAGAATGTCAAGAAAAGGCACATATTTGTTAGAAAGCCAGAAAGAGCATTCTAATATTATCCATCCTTCTTGGGTCTTTAAATAGTTACAGCTATTCCTCTACATTTAATGATATAGAGCAGTGTTATCCAATAGAACTTTCTACAATGTTGAATTTGTTCTCCATCTGTGCTGTTTAATACAGTAGCTACTAGACACTTGTGACTATTAAACACTTGAATGTGGCTAATGTGACTAAGGAACTAAATTTTTATCTTACTTTATTTTAATCAACTTAATCAACCATATATAGTCAGGGGGTACTATATAAACCAGGGGTGGGAACAGCCAGCCCGCTAGCCACATAAGGCCCATGAAATCATATGATCTGGCCCTGTCAAGGTATTAGGGGTGACTTAATTGAATATTTGACCAAATATAGCAGGTTAATTTTTAAGTGGATAATTTTGTATTGCCCACAAATTATGTTATAAATATACAAATGGGTCTTGGCAAAAAAAAGGTTCCCACCCCTGAAGAGTGCAAATCTGGAAATACAAAAAAAAAGTATTCTCCATTCAAAACTAAGGAAGGCCCAGCCTGTGTGTGTGGATCAGTGGTTGAGCATGGTCCTATGCACCAGGAGATCACAGGTTCGATTCCAGCTCAGGATACATGTCCAGACTGCAGGATTGATCCCCAGTATGGGGCGTGCAGGAGGCAGCCAATAGATGTTTCTCATCGACGTTTCTCTCTCTCTATCCCTCTTCTTCCCTCTCCCTAAAATCAATCAAAACATATTTTTTAAAAAACTAAGGAAGAAAAATATACATAAGTGGATAGAACTATGTAAATTAGGTAAATGCAAGACAACCATCACTCAATTAGGATTATTTAATAGAAATTAAAATATCAATATCTAAAGTTATATACATACAAAAATTCAGAAGGACAAAGATTATGTGATTACTTCCAGAACTCCCTCACACTCTCTATATTGTAATTAATCCAGTAATAAACTTAAATTGAAAAGGAAATCAACTCCTTAGGCATTACTCTCAAATTCTACATATAATTGTAATTCTTTGGTTTACCTCTGACCTGTAGAGTTCAATTGTTCATTTTGCTTTTCGAAATGTAAGAAAACTACCTAATTAAATGAAATCATTTTATTCACCAGAAAAGATTTCTCATAAGTCTAAAAACCAATATACCAAATCAAACTGTCTTAAAACAAAACATATTTTAAACAAAGAAATACCCTAAGTACCATATTCCAAGATAAATATTATTAATATATACCTTTAAATGACCAAGATCCAAAAGAAGCAGATTTGATGTAGGGCTGAAAATTCCATCTTGTGGGATAATAACATATGAAGCTTTCAAATTAATTCTGAGATCAAGAACTTTCTGTGTTTCAATAATATACAGTAGACCTGCAGAAATTAAATCTTCACAATGAGTATTTTACACAAATTACTCAAAAAATAGTTATTAAATGAACTGATAGCACAATCTTAAAATAATGTGAAATAAGAATTCATTTTAAAATGACTTTGAGCAAATTATTTTCAATATCAAGTAAAAGTATTTGTTAGTTAATATATACACTCCTAATTAAATATAACTAAGTACAAAATTAAAATTCTTCAAATAAATGTTGTTTTTAAGCCCACCCCAAAAAAACATTTTAGGTAATATTCAGGAGATAATATATCTAAAAAAATTAATATTATGAAACATATATTCATAACCCCTATATTAGAATCTATATAATTCTTTCTAAATCATGAACTTAATACAACTACATCTACCATACTGAACAATAATTCTTTATACTTATGACATTACTGGGACGAGAAAAATCCTGGGTAATTAAATCACCTCAACAAAACCATATGTGAAACAGAAAAGGCAACAAAGCAGAGTTATCCATTCCTCAGATATTTCATTAACTTGAGGTGTTTTATTCTAATAAATTTAATTCATTCACTTTCATGTGATTTATATACCAAACGAAACTATTTTATGGTCTCAAATCTAGCATGAGCTATTAAATCTAAAATTATTATCAACTATCAAATTGTAATGACCCCATGAGATAAAATTCTGTAAGCAGCTATTGCATCAATTTGAATCAATAAACAATGTTAATTTATAAAGTTTAGGACATCTGATATTCAAAAAGAAAGGGACCTTAGTTCACAAAAGAACAACAACAACCAAACACACACGAGAACTATGATGAGGATCAGATATTTTTAACAAATTCTGAGAAAATAAAAATGACAATAGCACACTAATATGTAAAATTCTGAATAGCTGGATTGAAAAAATTTAAGTGATGTAGTTTATTTAATGTGTATAACCTTTATACTTCAATCAAAAAATTTTGTTCAGAACAGGTAGAGGCTAGAAAACATCACAAGAGAACTGAAAGGCAAAGGGGCAGTAATTAAACCAAAAAGACCATTGCATGAAGTCCTATGATTTTATAAAAGAATTCAAAGGCCAGTTTCTGTCAAACACAATTTCAAAAATCCCAACAAAATTTTGTAATTAACTTGAATGTAGTTAATAGGTTTGACCTGAGTGTAAGGAACAATTGTTATATCTGCGTTTAAATTTAAGTATAAAATTAGTTTCAATTAAACTGTATCTAGTCTAGAAAGAAACTTAATACATTACTAACATCAGCTTTAAATGCCTAAGAGTTTAGTACAAGATTCAGTATGTAATACTGGCATTTTTACCTGTTGCTGTCTTATCACGAAATTCTTCAAGTTTTGTCAAAGTCGCTGAAGTGAGCTGTGCTAGATTTACCTCTTTTGGAGGTCTGAAGAATTCCACTATACTATTCACTGTTCTCTGGGAAAAATAAGTATCATTAAAATTAGGCATAAAATCAAACCAAATTGAAATATATTAAAATTTAGAAATTTAAAAAATGCTTACTGCGTCATATATTATTTCTAAAGGTTCAGCTTCTATGATACACCTTTGAGCAACAGTTTCATCTAATGGATTTGTCTCAAATGTAATCTGGAAAAGTGATGCAGCATTATCCAATGAGGACAGAAGGCGGGGTTTTGTTGAATCATCTGGTAGGCCAGTAACATGAAAGGAATCTATTCTGGTTTCAAATCTGCATGAAAAAAGAATAAATATTAGCAGTAGATATACTTTGTGCTCAAAAGACTACCATTAAAAATTAAAAGAAAACCATGAATGGGAAAAATTGAAAATATTTTATGTGTTAAGAGACTTATATAAATAATATAAAAAGAACATTTACACCTCAGTAATAGAGACAACCTAATTTGAAAATGAGCAAAAGAACTTAAAGATATTTTTCCAAAAAAATATAGTGACTAAGCATATGAAAAGATGTTCAACTTCACTAGCAATCAGGGAAATGGAAATGCAAATAAAACCAATGAGACTAGTTTATACCCATTAAGATGGCTATAATCAAAAGGAAAAATTAGTGTTGCAAATGATACAGATAAATTGGAAACCTAATACACTACTGGTAGAGATGGAAAAGTCTGGCAATTCCTCCAAAGGTTAAGCAGAGTTACCATGTGAAACAATTTACTCCTAGATATATACTCAAGGTAATTTAAAACTTAATGACACAAAATGTTGTCCATGAATATTCATAACATCATTATGCATAATACCCAATAAGTGAAAATAATCCATTACCCATCATCTGATGAATGGACAAAATGTGGTATATCCATATACTGGAATATTATTAGGGATTAAAAATGAATGCTATACCATGGATGAACCTTGAAATATGGTTAGTGAAAGACAGACAGAAAGGCCGTATTACATGATTCTGTGCATATTAAATGCCCAAAACAAAGTCTTAGGAATAAAGTAAATTAGTTATTGCTGACACAAGGGAGTGAGGCAATGAGGAGTGACAACTTATGAGTATTAGGGTTTCTTTTTTAGGGTGTAAAATGTTCTGGAATTACCTGATAAACATAATAATGTAATGTGGCATACAGTGTCAAAAACAAATGAATTGCACACTTTAAATGGATGAACTGTATATGTGATTTTATCTCAGTAAAGCTATTTTTTATTATTTTTAAAATCTTTATTGTTGAAAGTATTACATGTTCCCTTTTTCCCTCATTGACCCAGCCCAGCCCACTCCCGTGCCCCCACCCAAGGCCTTTACCACCCTACTGTCTGTGTTCCTCGTTTTTTTTTTAATTAACCTTTATTGTTCAAAGTATTGCAGATGTACCTTTTTTCCCCGAAGTAAAGTCATTTTTAAAAACAAAAGTGAGCCGAAACCGGTTTGGTTCAGTGGATAGACCGTCGGCCTGCGGACTAAAAGGTCCCAGGTTCGATTCCAGTCAAGGGCATGTACCTGGGTTGCGGTACCCCCCAGTGGGGGATGTGCAGGAGGCGGCTGATCGATGTTTCTCTCTCATCGATGTTTCTGACTCTCTATCTCTCTCCCTTCCTCTCTGTAAAAAGTCAATAAAATATATTTTTAAAAAAAGTGAAATACATTTCCAAATAAACACCAAACTATCAATGTTGTTTCTTCTTTGTATAATGTGGCTTACTGAGATTTTTGTATTATCCTTTAGTGTCCTATGTTTCCTCAGCATGCACAGTGTTCTACTGAATATGTATTATTTTAATAGTTATAAAATATATATATTACTGAAAAAAATCTAAGTTCCTAAAAATACAAAAGGATATATTAAGCCATAGTACTCTTTGGAAAATACGGTAAAATTGTAATCTATCTTCCAATTTCACAGTGAATTTTTTCTTACAGATAAAAGGTAATAACCCAGCCAGCATGGCTCAGTGATTGAGCATCGATCTATGAACCAGGAGATCATGGTTCGATTCTGGGTCCCCGGGCACATGCCCAGACTGCAGGCTCATCCCCAATAAGGGGTATACAGGAGGCAGCTGAAAGATGATTCTCTCTCATCATTAATGTTTCTATTTCTCTCCCCCTCTCCCTTCCTGTCTGAAATCAATAAAAATATATTTTTTAAAGAAGATAAAAGAAAATAAATGAATACTTACTTTATTGCTTGTGCTCCTGGTCTTTGTACAACCCAAGTGCTAAATTCTTCTACTACAATATTTAACAGCTCACGTTTTTGTTGTTCTTCTCTTAGAATAATAGACATACTTTTCAAGTGCATGTACAACTTCATGGCTTCAAACTAGAGTATATTCAGATGAGTAAAATTAAATACACACACATATGTATGTATATCAAACACTCTTATTCATATCCTATTCCCATAATTTATTCTTTCCAAAAACCAAAAAACAGTTTAAAAGCAACCGTAATAGCTTAAAGATTCACCCTATAACATTACAAAGTATGGGACAATATTTATCCCTACCTTGGAAATTAAAATAAAAACAATATTTATAGACCCAGAAGAAAATCACAGAACAAGTCAGTAATTCCAAAAGGATTAAAAATATCTTTCAACAGTGAGATATAAGCCATCAAAACCTTACTGATTTTGGCAAGGTTGGGTCAACTGCTGTTTCACTATAGCCAATTGCTTCATAGAGTAAAGTTTTTTCTTCAGGTGTCAAGATTTCTTCAAGACCTACAAATTATAAACAAAGTGTTCTTGTTTTTAACTGATAACAAGATAAAACTAACCCATAATTTAGATGCCTTTAATAAATTAAATGTAAATTTTACTCTTTTGATAATACTTCTAAGACATTATAATCACAATGTTAGAATGACATTGGCAATTTTAGAAGGATTATTCTCCAAAAATATAAATTTCTAAATACTGGTATAAACCAAGAGCTTACAAAATGACGAACTGTATTTAGCACTGTGCTAGGCAACACACCTAGCACAAAAAGTAAGTAGTACTAATATCATAATTTCCCCCAGTTTTACAATTAATAAAACTGAGATTCAAAGAGCTAAATAACTTACCAGAGACACAGTACTAATAAGAGATAGATTCAGTATGTAAACCTAAGCCCCTAAGACCTCAATGCTTTAATCTTAAGCATTTGGTTAGAAAAATCTTTACAAGAAATCAATAAATAAAAATTTACAATGGTTTATACACTTCTGAAATCTTTATTTATCTGTTATTGTGCTATATGCATTTACCAAATTCCCTGGGCATAAAACTCTTTTGTGAACACTAGTAAAATAATAAAATTATTTAATTTTTACTAGTCATATATTTATAATGTTTTAGTAGTAATTTTATTGATAACAAGAATAAAGTATGTGTCATATGCATATATACTTATAATATTTATTTAATTAGAGAGAGAACTTTCTGCAAAACAATTTTCATACCTGATGATTAACTACATTACCATACTTGATGATTAACTGCACTACTATAAAATAAAATGAACATACTTCCAGGTTTAACATCGGGCTGCTGCTCTATAGTTTTTGGTTCTGACCAAGTCCACAACCAGTTAAACCATCCTTTATTTTCCTCTGAATCTTTTGTTCCTTCTTTGTATATCCTGTATCCAGCTTTCTTTACCTAAAATATATAAATTTTTAATTAAATGCAAATTATCCTTTAACAATCTAAAGAAATATAAGCCTGACATTTCCAAAACCTGTTTACTTGAGTAAATGCAAACATTCTACAAACTGACAACAGAATAAAGTAATTGCAATATTAGCCAAACATAAGAATTTAGTATTATAAGGCAGTTAACCCCACTGTCTTACACAGAAAGGTAATTTAAAAGAAAAATCAAATTGGTTTTTCATCTTCATATTTACTCTGAGTATAAATCCAATAACCTAGAAATAATATTTTTCCAACAGAATCTGATTTAAATGAATGTGGCAAAACATTAAATCAAATTTTCTTATAACAAACACAAAAAAGCAAATTTGAACCTGTTTTAGGAAACAGTATATTACAGCACAATACTAATAATATCACAGCACCTGTCAAATCTCTATGGACTCTAGATTTGTTTTTACTAACTGAAAGATAATCTGGAATTACCTCAACTTCTGCCTGTTGTCTCACTATAGTTATATTAAATACATCCAGAGTCTTCTCCAACTCCTGAAAAATATAAAGGAAAATGTATTTACATAAACAATTATAAAACAATTATAAATAACTTTAGTATATATAACCTGTCAAATGGCTATACTAAAGATATGATAGAAAGCAGAAAACAGATCATGCATCAACATAATATTCCTGGTTAAATTCTGAGAAACAATGTCAGCTTGGAAATTAGTAATGATATAAACTTTTTGAACAAAGAAATCTTACATCATGCATATGAGTTACAACTCCATAAGATTTACAGATATATACTAAAAAGATACCAAACATGCACTGTTTAAAATGATTTTTATCTGGATTTTAACTGTACGCAAGGGTAAACACAGTGTCACTTCCAACTAAAAATACAATTTATAAAACCTTCATATAATGTGCACAGTTCCTATGCCATCATTAAGATGCTTCAAGTAGATCTAGACACACTTAAAACTTGTTTTTAAATTTTTCAAAGCTGTTGTGGCTATTAAAATAAGCTGATAAAAGCTAAATCTCTCATCACATCTCCATACATTATTTCCATGATTACATTTGGGAGTTTCACATGCAAAGAATTTTTTTCCCAAAGACAAGCAACCATGACCCACTAATATCTAGAAAACAACTTAGGGTGCTACTGTCCAGCAGTCTTGGAGGATTTAGGTTAAGGTAAAAATGGCTTAAGTATGGAAATCTGTAACCAACCCAAAGACCTCTAAAAACTAAGCATTTATATTAGTCTTGGTCTAGAAAAAGTCTCCTACCTCAAAAACAAAAATAAAACTCAATCTTTAGGAGTTGCAAACTGGATCAGAACAGTTACATTAATTTCAATAAGTTAACTCCTCTTAGTGTCCTTAAGCTGTACTTCATCCATCTGTAAAACAGTTCCTTCTAGAATATACCACTGTAATGCTAAAAGATAAGATGACGAATACTTAGAGAACTCCCAAGATAAATAAAGGTAAAGTTGCTGGTAAAGACTAGAAATGCCAAAGGAATTAAAAGAAAAAGAGCTCTATCTGGGCAGAAAATTCATATAAGAGACAGGACTGAGGCAGAACTTGAGGTTATAAGTAAAACTGGAAAAGCAAAGATGAGGAAAGGCAAAGGAAATACATGAGTACAAACTTGGCTATAAGCATAAGCAAAATATATATGATAGGAAATTGTATTTGATTAATGCACAGTTAGATGGTTTACACAGGGGAAATGCAGTGGTGACATAACGTAAGGCTTTGGAAACAACAGAGAACTTGGAATCAATGTACAAAAACATTTTAGCCTTTGAGGTTAAAAAATTTTAATATATAAAAACCCTGGTTGTAATGACCAGTAATGACCAAGATTTGACCACCCGGAAGTCAGTCCTGCAGTCAGCGCTGGGTTGCCATGGCAAACCAGTGCTGACTGCTTCCATTGCAGGCATGGTGCTCCAGCACTGACTGCTGAGGGGGTTGGCTGTGAATCAGGGCCAGAGAGAGGCCTGAAGAGAGAAGCAGGGACTGACCCGTTGCCTCTGTGGCAGCTTTTGATTAGCAATTGCTTCTCTCTTTCTCTCCCAGTCTGGCCAGCAGCCACGCCTCCATTTCTCTGCAGGCCTCCACCAGGGCTGCTGATCAGCCTGCCTTTCTGATCAGGCCCTGTTGATAAGCCCAGAGACGCTGACTGGGTAAGAACTGACCAATCAGAACCAAATGTGGGTGCTCTGAAGAACCAATGGCTACCTAGGAGGCAGAGCTTCTGACACTTATTGGCATAAAAACTGACCAATCAGAACCAAATCTGGGTGCTGTGGGAGCCAATGGCTGCCTAGGAGGCAGAGCTTTTGATGCTGACTGGCATAGAAACTGACCAATCAGAACCAAATTGGCCAGCAGAGGAGGGCAGTTGGGGGGCAAGATCAGGCCAGCAGGGGAGGGCAGTTGAGGGCAAGATCAGTCCGGCAGGGGAGGGCCATTGGGGGCGAGATCAGGCCAGCAAGGGAGGGCAGTTAGGGGTGATCAGGCTGGCAGACAGAGGCAATTAGGGGTTATCAGGCAGGCTGGCAGGTGAGCAGTTAGGAGCCAGTGGTCCCAGATTGCGAGAGGGATGTCCAACTGCCAGGTTAGGATGTCCTAAACGGACAGTTGGACATCCCCCAAGGGGTCCCCAATTGGAGAGGGTGCAGGCTGGGCTGAGGGAACCGCCCTTCTGTGCATGAATTTTGTGCACCAGGCCTCTAGTGTCTTAATAATATAAAGCTTCAAGTTATTATTTGCATGAACCCAAATCTCTCCAGATTCAGAATAATCTCATCTTCCAAAAGCTCCCAGGAGAATAACACCAAAGCTTCTATCACCCAACTGAGTTTAAACAGGAGTAAGAAAAAAATATAAGTAAAAGAGAGAGAATGGTTTTTGAGGTAGGAGACTTTCTCAAGACGTAGGCAAATATAAATGCTTAATTTTTAGAGGCCTTTGGGTTGGTTACAGATTTCCACAATTAGAACAAATAATGAGGAAGTCCCTAAAGACTTAGAAGTTTTAAGGCAAAAAATATTCAACTATTTTTTAAAATGCTAACCTCCAAACAGCTGAGAAGTTCAACAGGTGGCTTCTTATTTATTAGTTTTTTCTTATAGAGTTCTTTATATTGCTTCATTTGTTGCCGATGATCGCTAATATGTTTCCATGACCACATCCGTAAGTGGGGGCAAACATTTACTTCAAGAATACCATGTATAGCATAAGCCCACCTAGTTAAAAAACAAAAACAAAAACCCTACACTTAACACCCTCAAACCAACAGTATGAAATAAACTGATATTGCTTCTACTCTAACATATATAACTATCATTCAAAGAATTTGAAAATGGTATATAATGTGAGCACCTGCTTTTTCCCATCATATTTGTTTTTACAGTAATTAATATTATCTTTCCTAAGTGAAAATAAGCAAAATCTTTAAATTTTATTGCAATAAGTATGTCTCCAGAAAAACTATTAAAATATTAATGGGCAAACAGCACTTTAGTCCCATGAATAATAATTAAAATAGTCAACTGAAAGAGTAATTGCAATTTCTAGAAACTATGCAAGAGCTTAATAATGTAATGACAAGACTTTGAATTTCAAAAAGGGGTAGTACTTTATATACACTCATAACCTTTTCAGATTTAACACGTTTAATGTGTATAAAACAAAAATTTGAAACTTTTAAAGACATGCTAGACAAAAAACTGGAATATGGTTCAATAATTCAAAAAATACAGTGAATAAATGTTATTCTAGTACTCCAGTTATAAATTCCATTATAAAGAATCCCTTAAGTAATTTATAATTGCAAATCAAACTATAGTTTGTGTTGGTCTTTAGAGTATCTTAAAAAAGTCAAGAAATTCACTTTTATGTTATATTCTTAAAATCTTTTAAAAAGGCCCTAACCAGTTTGGCTCAATGGATATAGCATCAGCCTGCGGACTCAAGGGTCCCAGGTTCGATTCCGGTCAAAGGCATGTACCTTGGTTGCGGGCACATCCCCATTAGGGGGTGTGCAGGAGGCAGCTGATTGATGTTTCTCTCTCATGGATGTTTCTAACTCTCTATCCCTCTCCCTTCCACTCTAAAAAAATCAATAAAATATATTTTTTTAAAAAATCTTTTAAAAAGTTTTAGTTTGAGCAAATCCACTTATGGAAATTTACCTGAAGAAAATGAAAAGACTACATCAAAAAGATATATGCACCCCCACATTCACTGCCACATTATCTACAATAGCCACGACATGAAGACAACCTAAGTATCCACTGACAAAAGAATAAAGAAAATATGGTAATATATACACAATAATGGAATATTATTTAGCCATAAAAAAACTTGCCACTTATGACAACATGAATAAACCCTGAGAACATTATGCTAAATGAAGTAAAAGAAGGACAAAAATATATGATTTCACTCATATATAGAATCTTAATGTGACAGGAAATGAGCTCATAGGTATAGAAAATATGTTGGTGGTTGCCAGAGGCAGGAGTTTGGGGTGAGCAAAATGGGTGAAGGGGGTCAAAAGTTACAAACTTTCAGTTATAAAATAAATAAGTCATGGGGATATGATATACAGCAAGGCAACTAAATAATACTGCACTGCATATTTAAAAGTTGCTAAGAGAGTAGATCTTAAAAGTTCTTATCACAAGAAAAATTTTGTAGCTCCATATGGTAGGAATGGTAACTAAGGGTGATAATTTGAATCATTATGTTGTACACCTGAAACTAATATAAAATTGTATATCAATTATACTTCAATCTAAAAAATTTAAGACATTTTACCATTCTCTGGCATGGCCGTGAACAGGTACATCAGGTTTGAACTTCCTATATGGCAGATTTTGCGTCATCATATCAACTGATTCAAGAAGCTCCATAAGACTGAAATACTGAAGGATGAAAAAAATAAAGCTCTTACATGTTTCAGATTTTTTCCAATTATTGAAGCTAAGTTAAACTTTGTAAAGGAAATTTTACCACGTAACTATGAATTTTTAAAAAACATAAATAAATTGACAAATAAAAGGGAACCAGAAGCATAAATATGAAATACATATAACAAACTGGCCTTTGCCCAAGGGGAGGAAGGTGGGAGTGACTGGACAAAGAAGGTGAATGTAATAGCTAAAGAACACATATGCATACCATGGACACAGACAATAATTTGGTAAAGGCCAAGGAAGAGGTAGGCAGAGGAGGATGGAGGGGGGCAAAGGTGGGGGAAATGAATAATGTCAACATTAAAAATTTTTTAACAAAAAAAAATTTTTAAAAGGAAAACATTTAAAATCTTAGTTCTATTTTTATCAAACTATAACTCACAATTTAAAATACCATTTAAAAAATCACCTGTGGTTTATTAAATTCAATCGCTATGTCATGTAAATCAACATCCAATTTTATCTTGGGGGCAGAAAAGTCAAAATCAGATCGGCGATTCATCTGAAGTTTGGCTTTAGCAGATATGGGGCGAAATACTGGAAAATAATATAAATTTTAATAAATTAAACTGAGTTACATTTCAAGAGTTTCATAGTACTAAAAGGATCGAGTTGAAAATACTGATTTTCATGTCTTATATATTCTTTTACAGTTCCATATTTCCACAATGCTATGATATGGTCAGATGAACTGTCATTTAATCAGTGAAAAAGTTTTTATATTTTTCTATCTATAATTCACATTGTTGTCTGTAAGCCAAAAAAAGAAATAATTTCAGGAAGGATAGTCTATGGTTAACAACATTGTCAGTCGAGTTATCCATCACCAATCAATATTTATGGAGTGCCTTAAGGATTGAAGAAATAGCACTCTTTTTCACTGCATATTTTAATAACTTATTTCTGATTATTAAAATACTACATGTTCATTTCAGACTACTTAAAATCAGAAAAAATAAAGAAAAAATTTAAGTACACATTTTAAAAATAGTAGGTCACACTATAGACTGCAGCATCTAGCCTTATTAAATTGTATTTGCCATGTTAAAATGTCTTTAAGAATTATCATAGCTTTATTAAACAGAGAACTCACAATTTATTAACAATCACTCTTATTGGACATTTTTCTTTCCTGGTTTTGATATATAGCCAAAAGCTCCCCAACAATGAATGACATATATGTTTTCTTTTGCATATGTGTGTGTGTGTGTGTGTATCACAAATACATTTAATTACATGAGATATTAACATGAAAAGGCACAGTTACATCAACAATATTCATTTAAAATTTATTAATAAATAAATTAATAAAATAAAATAAAAATTGCAATTTTTACTTTAGGAAACATACTTACCAAAATCATAACCTTCTGGAACAATATTTTCATCAACAATGCCATTCCTCAAGCTGTCCTATTAAAAGATAAATTGCTTTTACTTATATTAATGACAATATATCTTTATCTGACAAAATCTTATTGTATGCAAATGAAAAAGTTTAAAGGCAATTTATAAAAAATTAATAACTCAAACTTAGGAGGATTTTGATAAAAGAAAATATTAAAGTGGTATGGATAATAGTTCATTAAAGACAATTATCTCATAAAAGAATACCTTAGAAGTATTAAGATATATGTTTAAACATGTTTATATATAGGCACATATACAAAATATGACAAAATTCAATACCCACTTATGATTAAAACTCTCTGTGCCAAAGTGGATATAGAGGTACAATTACACTTGAACATAGTAAAGGGAATATATGACAAAACCACAGCTCATATAACATTCAACAGGAAAAGTTCAGAGTTTTCCTCTAAGGTCAGGAACAAGACAAGGATGTCCACTGTCACTACTTTTATTTAACACTAGAGGGCTGGTGCAGTAAGTCGTGCATGGGTGGGGTCCCTTGGCCAGGCTGGCAATTGGGGCCAACTGAGGATGGCTGGCCAGGCGCGAGGGACCGTGGGAGGTTGGCCAGCCACGGGAGGTTGGCTGTGGGAGCGCACTGACCACCAGGGGCAGATCCTGCGTTGAGGGTCTGCACCTTGATGGTCAGTGCGTGTCATAGCTACTGGCCAGACATCTGGTTGTAATGATCACTTATGCTTTCATGTAAGTATATATAGTAGAATACACAAATTTAGTAAATATGCAGGACATAAAAATCAATATACAGAAATCGGTTGCATTTCTTATACACTGGTAACAAACTATCAGAAAGCAAAATTAAGGAAATAATTCCATTTACAACTAAATCAAAAAGAAAAAAAACTTAGAAATAAATTTAACTAAGAAAGTGAAAGACCTGTACACTGAAAACTGTAAGACTTTCCTAAAAGAAACTGAAGACACAAGTAAGTGGAAAGATATTCCACACTCAAGACTGTAAGAATATTGTTAAAAAAAAAAAAATCCATACTACCCAAAGCTATCTACAGATTCAATGCAATCCCTGTCCAAATTCCAATGGCATTTTTCACAGAAAAAGCACAATCATAAAATGTGTATGAAATCACAAAAGATCCCAAATAACCAAAGCAATCTTGAGAAACAAAAACAAAGCTAAAAGTATCACACTCCTTGATTTCAAGCTCTATTACAAAACTGTAGTAAACAAAACAATGTAGTACTAGAATAAACACAGACACACAGACCACTGGAACAGAATAGGGAGCCTGGATAAGCCCATACACATATGGTCAATTAATTTACAACAAAGATTAAATTTGGGAAAACTGGATAGACACATGCAAAATAATAAAACTGTACCAATATCTTACACCATAAACAAAAATTAACTCAAAAGGGATTAAAATTTGAATATAAGACCTGAGACCATAAAAATCCTAGAAGTAAATATACATGGTAATCTCCATGACATTGGTCTTAGTGATGATTTTTTGGATCTGACACCAAAATTAAATGAAACGAAAGCAAAAACAAGAGAGACTACATCAAACTAAAAAGCTTCTACACAGCAAAGGAAACCATCAACAAAATAAAAAAACAATCTACTGAATAGGAAAAAATATTTACTATTCATATATCTGATAAGGGGTCAATATCCAAAATATATAAAGAACTTATACAACTCATAAGTAAAAAAAATAAACAACCTGATTACAAAATGAGCACAAGTTCTGAATAAACATTTTTCCAAAGAAAATATACAGATGACCAACAGGTACATAAAAAAATATCCAACCTCACTAATCATCAGGGTAATGCAAATCAGAATACAATATAATATCACCTAATACCTGTTAGAATAAGAATTATAAAAAAGACAAGATATAACAAGTATTTGAAAAGATATGGAAAAAAGGAAACGCTTGTGCAATGTTAATGGGTGCAACCACTATGGAAAACAGTATGGAGATTCCACATAAAATTTAAAATAGAACTCCATATGACCCAGCAATTCTACGTCTGGATACTTATCAAATAAAACAAAAACACTAACTCAAACAGATATGTGCATCCATGTTCACTGCAGTCAAGATATGGGAACAACCTAAACATCCATCGACAGATGAATAAATAAAGAAAACGTGGTGTGTATATATATATATATGTAACAACATATCATTCAGCCATAAGAAAAAAGGAAACCTTTCTATTTGAGATAACACAGGTAGACTTTGAGGGCAGTACACTAAGTAAAACAGATGGAGAAAGACAATATTGTATCTAATATGTGGAACCTAAAAAAAAAAAAAAGACAAACAAGCTCATAAATAAGAGAACAGATTGGTGGTTGCCAGAGGCAGGGGGTGGCAAAATGTGTGATAGGAGTCAAAATGTACAATCTTCTACTTATAAAGTATTTATTTTACATACAACATGGTGATTTAACATACAACATGGTGACTATAGTTAATAATACTGCATTGCATTTGAAAGTTACTAAGGGAATCTTACAAGTTCTCATTTTATAAAAAAAACATTTTGTAACTGTTATGGTGAGAGATGTTAACTAGAATTATTGTGGAAATAATTTTGTAATATATACAAATATCAAATTGTTGTACACTTGAAACTAATATAATATTTTATGTCAATTATTAAAAAACAAGGTGTGTGTTTATACATGGATGTATACAGGTACATATAGTCACCTATTTTCTGTAAATTCTGCTAATTGATTTTGCCTGAAAAAAAATGACCACTGACTTCAGTACATTAGGTAAATGACAATGAATAAAACAAATGTGTATATACACATATTTTTAAAGAGTTACTTACCAAAGAATCATCGTAACTAGTAAGATAAAACATCCGAGACTTCACATTCCAATAAGCAAAAAGGTTATCCAATCGGATTAACTAAAAATAAATAGTTCATTATTTGTCTCATTTTCTTTGAAAGATCATAAACATATGCTATTTTCAGAAGCCTCAAATAATTGAGTCATATAACAGAGTTAAGCAAGTAAACAGTTTTCATAAATCCATATTATATATTACATTAGCTTTTCTAAAAGTCTCTTTTGTCAACTCAATGAGTAGACAAAATATAGTATTTATTTATTTTACCTTACGAAATAGTTTCTCAGTTTCATCATGTAAACATGGAGCCCAGTTTTGATCAGTTGTCTGGAATAAGAAAGGCAATAAATGTGTCATTTCCAAGTGCTATGTGGCAGAGTGATAAATCCTATCAATTACTCCCTACACCAATTTCCCATGAAAATGTCTTTGAAAGCATTCAAAAAATAACTGAACCACAAGTATCTGCTTTCAATGAGCTCATTATTGATTGAAAAGCAAACACATAAAGAAACAATTACAATCAAGTAAGTGCCACTACAGAGGTTAAATATACAATACTGGGAAAATACAGTAGAAGCCTTCAAACCATTATTTTTAAAAATGGAGGAAGTGATGTCTAACCTAATATATAACATATGAATAGAAATTACTGATTCTAAGGTCATGGGGAATATTATTCATTCTAGAAATATATGTGAACATCTGACATGTTCAGAGAAGTAAAATGGCACAGTGTGGCCTAAAAACATAATGTAAAACAAAGAAAAGAGTTGAAATCAGATATCTAACCTGCTATCAGATTACAAAAGGATTATAAACGATTTGAAGGCAAAACTATGGACTTTATTATAAAAGCAATAAAAAGCCCCTGAGGAGAATCAAGATGCTTATTTAAAAAGACGGTTTTCACTTTTTTTTTTTGGTACAGAACTAAATTAATTAGAACAGTGGTTCTCAAACTTAATTATGCAACAGTATCACATAGAGGGCTTTTTAAAACATGGATTGCTGGGCCCATTCCTGAGTTTCTAATGGAATAGGTCTGGGCTGGGGAACAAGTTTTCAAGGCCCTGCAAAGGTGATGGTCAAAATCACTGCTGTCACAGTCACCAATAGCCTTCACAATGCTAATTACAACAGCTAATTCTCCGTCCTTATCCATCCTTATTTTTCAGCAGAGCATTTGAAATTTTACCCCACCCAACATTACTGAGTAACTTTTCATTTGGCATTTCTTAGAGTAGACCATGTTTGTTTGTTTTTTTAAAAAAAGTCATACACAAAAAAGTAATGAATACAAAAGCAAGCATGTAAAGAATACAGCAGTTAAATGGAATGAATTATAAATTACATGTGGCAACTTAGATGTCAAACACATTGTGAGGAGAAAAGGGGAACTTAATAGAAGAATCACATAAAATATTTATGTAATTTTTCAAACCCTATCAAATACTATATATAATTTTAATGGCTATCTACACTAACAAAAGAGAAACATGGTAATTGGCGTATGACCGCTACCCTTTTCATTGGCTAATCAGCAAGCTATGCAAATTAACTGTCAGCCAAGATGGCGGCTGGCAGCCAGGCAGCTTGAAACTAACATGAGGCTTGCTTGCCTCAGTGACGGAGGAAACCAATGTTCCCCGCCTGGGGCTGCAGGCCTCTGAGCCGGCAGCTTCAGAAACTCTGTAACAAATACCACCGGACTTCAGCCAGAAGATTCGCAACATTGTATGCAAAGGCCAGAAACCTACTTTCAGCCGCGGAGGCCTAAGAGCTGGAGCCAAGCCTCAAAGCTAAAGATAGCTCAGAATAAAAAAAAGAAAGAAAGAAAGAAAAAAAAAGAGCAGTAGGGAGCTTCAGTCAACCGCCAGCCTGAAAACAGCTCTCAGCCCCTCACCCAGACTGGACAGGCATCCCCACCCTGATCCAG